CACGCATAATTCAAAACCTGGCACTACAATAACTGTTTCAAAATGCGGGACATCAAGAACGCCGCGAACATCACCGCGTCGAGACACGCGCGCGCGGAAAGTCGCGAAGAACAAAAAAAGGCGAGATGGACCGCGTGGATGTCGACGCCGTCGGCGCAAAGAATTTCTCGGGCACAGCTCGCCGGGCAAGTCAGAGACCGTTTGCAAGCGCGGCCGCGCGCAAGAAGTCATGAGTCATAGCTCCCACGGGCATCGACAAGGCCCCCCTGAAAGGTCTGACACACCGCGAACATGCTGAGGCAACAGGGGAGAACGAACGCACGGCATGTTTCACTCTCCCACCTGGCTCAGCATCGGCGTCGCGTACGTTGCCAGGCTTTGCGCATCATGACGAATCCAGGCATTGTTTCCAGTGTCTGAGCCTGGGCACAGGCACCCAATATGCCACTTGAGCACGCTCACTGAAGCACCGGATCAACACGCAAGGCTCCGGGTTCAAACCCACTCCCTAAGACGAGGAGTTCGAGACGGGCCCACAACATCCGAAGCGCCAGGCACGCAGATGATATAGATCTGGCAGGAGCCGAGGACATTGTTGGCAATGCGTCAAGCGCGTAGAACAAAAAGCACGGGGATGCAAATTCAATGAACGCAGCTGCGCACACTGCGCCGCGCGCCACCCCATGGCCTAGGACGGCCACGTTCAGCTTGATCACAATGAATAGATCAAAACATTTCGCCCCGCGCAACACCCAGAGCTCACTGGCGCTGATGCCGACGAGGAGGCGACGAACAATGCATAGGGCATGTTCATCCACCTACGTTGTGCGCTAGCATATGAACTGATCACTTAGGCGCAGCGAGTAGCATGTGAAATTCCCTTGCAACGCGTCCAAGGAGCAACCAACGCACGATCGCGACGAGTCAATGCCGCAACACTACAACAGGGCCCAAATGCAATAATAGATCACGCAGTGGCTCCGACAGGAGAAGTGGACCTACATAGCGACTCTGGTCGTCGCCGCCTCAACGGCGACGCCGACGACGAAGTCGAGAGGCACGGCGCCCGAGGATCCAACCTCTCATTGCACGGGCGCGCGCCACGCGGCAAAGCAGCAGCACGCCTGATCGACGCGCACTGCAAGTCGCACCGCCTGCGCGCACGTTCCAGCTGCCCCCCCGAAACACCAGCAGCAGCCCATAACTTGGAAGACTGGCATCCTACCATTGTGACGCTACACGAGCTGGAGGCCGGGCCATTTACACCGACACAACTCAAGAACATTTTAGAAACAGGTGCTGTAAATGTAAAAGAGATCCTCGCCAAGTCGGCATGCAAGTCCCTACCGAATAAGGACCTGACGAAGCCACACAGACGCCCCTTGTCCAGACAGACCAGCTGGATCCAACATATGATGAACCGAGGAACCGCTGATTGCGCACAGTGGTGTGATACACGTGATAGGACGACCGACGGTCATACCAAGCGCTATATTGATCGTGAGCTAGGACAACAAGCAATGAGCGGAATACCGCCATTCAAGTATGAGGCAACGCGGTATACACCATCCAGAGGAAACAAGACATGATTTTAGCCTTGCCCTAGGCTAGCGGATACTGCACATGCGCAGCCGACGGACAGCCCGCGCGCGCTCGGGCACGGGCATCTTGTCAGCATCTGCTCGGACACGGGCTTCTTCTATACTTGCATCGCACGCTTTGGTGCCTGAAGGTTTGTTCAGGCATCCATTCTAATTTGCGTCGACCCACGGCTCGAAGCAGTGGGTTGACCCTTCTTTTCAACCGTGGTTGGTCGTGTTTGCCATGGCCAACCCTAATACGCTGCCGGCCGCGGTGAGATTTCCCACGGCTGGCTCTGTCTGCTTTGGTTATTGTACTTGCTTCGCTTGGGCATTCGAAAAAAAAACGCCATCCTCTACCCCGTATCTTGCTGCTATATACTGGATTACTTAATTCTGACGTGGCTCGACGCTCGGCTCATCCCCTTCTGATTGTGAAGGACGACCAACGGGACAAAGGTGAGCATAGCGAGCGTCTTGCCCACGTCCGCCGCTGTCTGGCTCAAGACAGCGTTGTCCTATACGACTACCTCGCGTCAGCGAGTTATTATTGCACCGGAGTAACGGATAAAGGGGGCATCTACATTCTTCGATCTTGCATCCTCTCATATCATATGTTGTCTCTCGCCAACCATTTTGCTCTTCAATATGGGATAAGCTATGGGGTACCGTGATACGTTTGCGACGTCATCCTAAGCAGCGGGGTCTCGGCTTACACCCTCCTGACCCTCGCTTTTCACTCCGCCGCCCCCCCCCCAGAGACCCGGTGGGACCCAGGGGGGGCGGCATTCTGACCCAGGAACCCCCCGCCCACCCACCCACACACCCCACCCCCGCCACCCCACAACAGGGAAAGGATAAAGAGAAGGCAACCCACTGAATTACGACGTTTTCTTCTTTTGTCTTTAAAGTTCTTTTGGGACTGGCGACGACGACGACGACGACAACGACGACGACGACCACTCAAACGGAGAATTGTTTCGCACACGCCGAAGGACCAGCGGATTATTGTTGTTCTTTTTATTTCGGTGTGCCCCCTGCGCCCCCCCCGTCCGCACACGTGCTTCGGGCTTCGGGCCATGATGCGATCTTTACGCGCTGAATGGCGCACCTCGTCAGCGCAACCGATCGTTTCAGTGGGCCCCGTGGTTTGTAGCCGTCTTCGGCCTTCGAGCACCGTCCCAGGGCACGGGGGCCGTCAAAGAGTGCTCGGGGTGAATTGGCCCGAGGGGGAAAGCCCAGGGTACAGGACCCGTTTCCACCACGGTTCGCTTTTTGGTGGCAACCGTCGTCGCCTTCGTCTGCACCGTGCTCTTCGACGTCACCGCGGTCGCCTTTGTTTTCCAGTCGAGGCAACGTCGGCCCTTCATGGCGGTCTTCGCCCTCTTTGGGCCTCCCGGGGAGGCCTCTCGTCGCGACCGCTTTCGCTCCGCCCCAAAAAACTGGCCAGGATGGACCCCTGCCGAGGACCGCCGTTGTCGCACTTGGCCCTCTTCCGGGGGAGGAGACGAGACGAGACGAGACGCACCGGAGTCGCCCGTGCCCCGCTCGGGGGCCCTTTCGTGCCCGTCAGGGCATGGCGCGGGGGCGGCGTGTCCCCACATCACGGGAGCAAGGCAGGGAGCAGGGGAGCAGGTGCGTTCGCGGCATGTCTGACACCCTGCCCCTCCAGCCCATCCCTTTGCACTGCGCTGACTTTTTCTCCACCCACGGACGCGAGTCATAGCGGACCTGCAGCTTGGGGAGGGGGGGAGGGGGGGTAGCGCAGCGGGTGGAAGCCATGGAACCTCGGAGGGAGGTTGTCCAGCGGCCTCCTCCAGCGGCGTTGTCCACTGGCATCCTCCAGCGACCCCTCCTGCGGCCTTCTTCAGCGGCCACTCTGACGGCATCCTTTAGGGGCCCTCCAACGGAGGTCTCCAGCTGCCCCTGCGGTGCTGTCCCGCGGCGTATGCGGTTCCCGCGGGCGCGTCTCTCCAGTGACCCCTCCGGCAGCCCCCTGCAGCAGCCCTCCTAAAGCAGCAGCCTGACGCAGGGCGGGTGGCAGTGAGCTCGGGCCTTCAGTCTTGCAGCGCTGCCACAGGCGTCCAACCGCGTTCCTCTTCGTGTTGGCGCAAGTGCTTGAACGTTTCCGTGTTGCTTCCTTGCGCGGCGCGCGCGTAACGCGCGGTTTTCGCCGGTTTGTCGCAGCCTTCCTCTGGCGTATGCCCCGCAATCCCCTCGAGCTCGGCGATCAAGAGCGCGGTCTCCTTCTCCACATACTTGGCACTTTTCTCAGCTGTTCCTTCGCGGCCCTCTGCCACTCTCGGCCTCCGGAGACTTCTTGACCGCCTTTTCGAGCTCGTAGCTTTTCCTGCGGAGCTTCCCCAGCTGACGCGTGAGATCAGGATTCATCCGCGAAGGGAAGCCACGTGTTGCCTCTAGGAAGGCTTCTTCTCCACTGCGCTGCAGATGCTTCCGTGGCGGGCATTATATCTTGTCGATCTCATCGAGCTTTGCAGACAGGCCCTGCTCTTGGGCCTCCCCACTCGCTTCTCCTCCCTCTCTTATGGCCATGTGTTCCTGGTCCTTCCCTTTTTTTTCTTTTCTCTCTCTCTCTCTCTCTCTCTCTCTCTCTCCTGTTCTTCCCTTTCTTCTCCCCTGCCCCACGCACTTCGCAGCTTTTTGTTAGCCTGGCAGCTATGGTCTTCCGACTTGGTGCGTGTTCGAGCCATCGGGATGTTCATGATATTGTGTGTCTTATTATTCTTTTATGATTATCATATTTGTTGGTTGGAGTCGTTATCGTCATTTCTCTCGTCCGCCTTTGTGGCTGATCTAAGACAGCCGCCTTGAGTTGACTTGAGTTTTATCTGGCTCATTGATGCTGTCGGAATCATACACTCGCTGGCATGTAAAAGTGAATATGATCGGGACAGCCATCGGGACAATCATCAGGACAACTATCGGGGCAACCATCGAGACAACTATCGGGACATCCATCGGGATAGCCGTCGGGACAACCATGAGGACAACTGGCCGCATCGCGCAGCCGGCGCCGATGAGTCGCCACCGTCTCACGCCTCGAACCAGCTCCATCCATGCGACGGCGGCGGCCGGCGCTCTAGACCCCCTGTGCAGGCCCGGGCCGTAGTTATATTGAGACGGACGTGTTTGAGCCGACATGGCTACGGACAAACGAGCACACGCAAACAAACAAACACACACACACACACACTCTCTCACACACGCGCACACACGCACACACACACACATACACACACGCGATGGTTCCTGCTCTGACGAAGTGATGACACCATTGCGAATGATAGTAAGGAATGCTGAGCGCACACACCCATACGCAAACATGTACACATACCCATGCATGCACGCACACATGCGCATACACATACACACATGTTCGGTGAACACCCCTGACGCAAGTTCCCATCGCACGCAGGGGAACTTGCGCTGCTTCTGCCCAATGTTCGACTATTCCTGGTTGACTCCTTCTTCCCTCTTATCGACCCCCTCTGCCTTTCTATGTATTGTGTGCCTTCGTAGCCGTCTCTGCTCAAGCAGTCTGATGATTCAAGCAGCGACCTGATTCAATAGCAAACCGCTGCAGTTGACGATGCTGGACAATTCGGGCAACGAGTCCTTCGAATCTTTCGAGGAGACTGAGGGTGATGAAACCAGCAGTATTCAGCCCCTAGATAGTAGCACGATGGAAGTGTTCGGAGCACGCGAAAACAGCAGAGTGACGATTGTGCGCACAAGCAATGCGAACAGCAGAGATTCGTATGTTATTGAGGATTACACGGATCTGCAGAACGATGACTTGATACATGTGGTGAGCAGCATGGATATGAACGTTGACCCCTGGCAATTGAAATTGAGAGCTTGGATGCGTGAAGGTCACTGGACCATGCAGTGCATTGCACTTTGGGCTTCAGCATTTCTGACACATTCCTACGCCTACCAAGGTCCGAAGGTTGGTGGCAACTTGGCACAAGCCACCGTAGTCTGTCTCTGCGGCTTGGCTATGCCTGAGTACGCAGCGCCTTGTGCGGTGGGCGCCTACACTGGGATTGTTTCCGAGTTGCTCGCCCCTGAGATGTCATGGTTTGCTTTTCTTTGTTTGGTGACCTGCATAGTTTGGCGACTGGTGTCCCACTTTAAAATATTTGTTGGTTTGGGTGGTCGTCTCGGCTTCACAGCTTTTTGCTCATGCCACTTTGTGCAGATTGCTGTGCTCATGCCTTTGGGGGTCGTGGAAAACAGTGATCATAACATGCTGGTCAAGATCATATTCTTCGGGCGCCAAGAGACTTGGTCGTACGAATATTGTCGCTGGGATGTGCATTTGATTTCTCTAGGTTTCTGCGTCCTGGGCGCTGTCAACTCAAGGTTCCTTCGCCAACTTGGGAACGCATTAGAGAATCCAGTTGTTGGAGCGACGTCCGGATCGCTGCTTTGCTTTGTCATATTTTCAGTCAGCAGTTGGAGCTCTGCAGACGTGGCTATGAATGGTTACGCAGTTGGTTCATTTGTAGGTATGGCATCATTCGAGATGTTTCCGTCATCTTTGAGCTTCGCTTTAGGGGGATTATTGGCTGGAGGGTTTATTCCCTTGCTCGAACCCTTGTACACGGGATGGAGTGGCAAGCAGGGTTTCTGTGCGCTGATGGGATGCAGCACATTCTTGGTTATGCGGCGGCTGCTGAGCAAGTGCACAAAGCTTCAAACCGACACATGAGAATGATGACCGCAGCATTTGATAGAGTACTTCAGTACCTCACTCCCCCAGCAGTGCTTGCACTGACGGGTTCTGACCTGCCTTGCCTAAGGAAGTTGATGGCTGTGCCGAGGCGTCGCCAGGCGACCGCCCGTGGGCGCCTCGCATGCGCCTCGGGTTGGGTGGATGTGCCGAAGTTTTGCCTGGTGCTCGCCCGTGGGCGCACAGTGGGCGCCTCGTGCGCTGGATGGGTGTGCCAGAGCTTCGCCTGGTGCCCGCCCGTCGCCGCCTCGTGGGCGCCTCGTGCGCCAGGTGGGTGTGCTGAGCATTCGCCTGGTGTCCTTCAGTGGCCGCCCGTGGGCGCCCAGTGGGCTGGGCGGATGTGCCGAGATTTCGCCCGGTGCCCGCCCATAGCCGCTTCGTGGGCGCCTCGTGGGCTGGGCGGCCGCATACACTGCAATACGCTGCATAGCTCTTTTAACCAGCCAGCTTGCTCCACACAGATTGCCCCACATAGATTGCACCACATAGCCTACACCACACAGCTTGCACCACATAGCTTACACCACATAGCTTACGCCACACAGCTCGCACCACGTAATAACCGTTAGGTTAGCCTCACGGCTTTGAAGTGAGGTTCGTGGGCAATGTGAAACACAACAAAGTTTGCACCACGTAATTAGCTTGCACCGCATATTTTGTACATGCATTGCACCACATAGCTTTCCTCGCTTGCTCCATATATCTCACACATCGACAGTGCCTGAACTTCTTTATTGGGGTCCACACTGCTTGAACATTGTATTGTAGCACCGTCATGGTATGTGGCACTGTTCCTCGATCAGCGCCTGCACCGAATGGGTCCTGGCAGAAACTGAAAGACTCGATTCAGGTATCAGGCCAGGGTTTGGGTAGGCGGCCGGGTTCTTGGGTTTCCAGTTCCGTGTTTTTGGTTCCCGTTTTGGTTTCCGGGACGATGTCGGCGGGCGGCCGGATCTTTCGGTTCCCAGCTCCCGGTCCAGAGTTCCCGGCGCTAGAAGGTTCCTGGTTTCCGCAATCTTGATTGCGGCCAAGTGCACGTGTCGTCTCGACCACGGTCAGAATAAGAGACTAAACAATGGAAGTGAAGAGCAAATATCATAGTAGAGAGCAGCTTTGCAAAGAAAGTGGGAGAGAGGGGGCAGAAACAGGACGCAGATAATGTAATCGGCGAATCACCGCCGCCCCCTGCCCTTCAGGATCTGCCTATGTGGTCAACGCTATTGAAACATGCGTTCCCACAGCCGTTGTGGAAGCCCTTCGGGGAACAGGTGGGGGACGAAGCGGAAGATGAGGAGAGGGAAGGAAAAGGAGCATGAGGAGAAGGATGAGGAGACCTCTTGGGAGCTTCTTGGGTCATTACTGGGGCCTCTTAAGTTGCTTCCTGGGGGCCTCTCGGAGGCCTCTTGGGGGCCTTTTTGGGCTTCATGGGTCCACTTGGGAGCCTTTGGGGCTTCTTGGGGGCCCTTTGGCCGTCTTGCAGCGTTCCTGGCCCGACTGACGCCGTCGGAAGCCATCCTGGGTGCCTTTCTGAGTTGTCTTGAGGCTCTCCTGGAGCACTTCAGGGTCGTCTTGGAGCCCATCTTGGGCTTTTGGGAGGCCTCTTGGGCGTCTCGGGGCCGTTTGGGGAGCCTTTTGCGCCGTTCTGGAACCATCTCGGAGGCATGAAAGAAGCAAATGCCAAAGTCATTCAAAAGCCTAAGGGAATTGAATGATTTGGCCTCTTCGGACCCACCTAGAAGACTTCTTGGAGGACTCTTGAGCCGTTTGGGGGGCCTCTTGGGCGTTCCTTTCACCATCTCGAGTTTTCGAAGACCATCTTGGCAGCATCTTGGCACCATATTGGAAGCCAGCTTGGGGCTATCTTGGGCTCTTTTGGGGCGACCTGGGCCGTCTACAGGGCCATCTTAATCTTAGCCGTCTTGGAGGCCATGTTGGGGCCATCTTGGAGGAGAATATCGACTGAGTCCACTTTTTCCCGGCCCTGCCGGATGGCCGGCGGCAGCGGCCGAAGACCCAGGGGGAGTTCCAAAATAATTTAACACTTCTAAGATCTTCAGCACGCCAGGCATCCTTGTGATAAATCAATAGGTCGCGGCGGATCCAGTGGCCTTCGGCGCATCCCGCCACCGTTCCTGGGTGGTGGGTATGAATGAAGCCTATTGGATGTTCGTTGGGATCTCGTGGGAGGCCTCTCGCGGGCGGTTGGGGGCTCTTGGGACGGGCCAGGCCCCCATGGGCTTTGGCGTGCTGTGTGATCGGGGGGTGATGGGAGCGGGGGCTCTAGGCATAAGCATGCTTGCACAGTGGAGGCAAATGATATTGAAGCAAGCAGGATGTGCCATGATAGAAATTTGGAGCGGATGCCACGCCGCACCAAACCAATATCCCGCCCCACCTCATTACTGACAGTGCGCATCCACCCACACTGTTGCCGGCTCTTCCTCCCCACCTATATTGTTGGTGCCAACTCTTCCTCCTCCTTTGTCTTCCTCTTCTTCTTCCCTTCCCTCTAGCATGTCGACCCAGGCCCCCAGGGCATCCGCACGCTCTTCAAGCGTGCGTGGCATGTCGTGGCATGTACGCTTGCCTGCTGGGATAAAGGTGTCTACCGGGAACTGAGTTCCTTGCGGTTCCACTTGATTCCCAACCATCTTGTGGTGTTGGGTCCTCGTTTTGAAGAGACGGTGCCCCGCGTCTCCTCCTCCCGCTGCCCCCATCCCTCCTCCTTCCTCCCCCTCCTTGCCTCTGTTCTCGGCACACCTCTCGCACGTTTCGTAGACCCATAGGGAGCTCCACCGAAGGCCCCAGTGGGGGTGTTCGCATGCGGTTCCCCCACCCAGGGCAGCGCTTCATGGCCACATAGGGAGCTCCACCGAAGGCCCCACTGGGGGTGTTCGCATGCGGTTCCCCGGCCCAAGGCAGCGCTTCGTGGCCCCATAGGGAGCTCCACCGAAGGCCCCACTGGGGGTGTTCGCGTGCGGTTCCCCCACCCAGGGCAGCACTTCGTGGCCCCATAGGGAGCTCCACCGAAGGCCCCAGTGGGGGTGTTCGCATGCGGTTCCCCCACCCAGTGCAGCGTTTCGTGGCCCCATGGGGAGCTCCACCGAAGGCCCCACTGTGGCTGCTCTCGCATGCGGTTCCCCCGCCCAAGGCAGCGCTTCGTGGCCCCATGAGGAGCTCCACCGAAGGCCCCAGTGGGGGTGTTCGCATGCGGTTCCCCCACCCAGGGCAGCGTTTCGTGGCCCCATAGGGAGCTCCACCGAAGGCCCCAGTGGGGTGTTCGCATGCGGTTCCCCCACCCAGGGCAGCGTTTCGTGCCCCATAGGGAGCTCCACCGAAGGCCCCAGTGGGGGTGTTCGCATGCGGTTCCCCCACCCAGGGCAGCGTTTCGTGGCCCCATAGGGAGCTCCACCGAAGGCCCCAGTGGGGGGTGTTCGCATGCGGTTCCCTGACCCAAGGCAGCGCTTCGTGGCCCCATAGGGAGCTCCACCGAAGGCCCCAGTGGGGGTGTTCGCATGCAGTTCCCCCACCCAGGGCAGCACTTCGTGGCCCCATGGGGAGCTCCACCGAAGGCCCCAGTGGGGGGTGTTCGCATGCGGTTCCCCCACCCAGGGCAGCGCTTCGTGGCCCCATAGGGAGCTCCACCGAAGGCCCCCGTGGCGCAGTTCGCATGCGGTCCCCCCACCCAGGGCAGCGCTTCGTGGCCCCATAGGGAGCTCCACCGAAGGCCCCAGTGGCGCAATTCGCATGCGGTTCCCCCGCCCAGGGCAGCGCTTCGTGGCCCCATAGGGAGCTCCACCGAAGGCCCGCCCCAGTGGCGCAGTTCGCATGCGGTTCCCCCACCCAAGGCAGCGTTTCGTGGCCCCATAGGGAGCCCCACCGAAAGCGGCACCCACGACGCGTCACGAACAGTGGCTTATGGTTGGGTCCTTCGCCTGGATAATTTTTTAGGGGGGTCACAGTTTCCATTTGGAACGGTAGCGTTTTGTTTGGTTTGGATCAGTCACACCTTCTGAGTAGAACAATCGCATATCGATGTTGCAACGTTCCTGTTGCAAATTTTGGTTGTGTTTCTAAGGAGAGTTGTGCATTAGGTGGTTGTGGTGTTGACAGTGCGTAGGCAGGACGATGCAGCGGTGGTTCGTATTCCATCCTCCCTGGAGATAGTAGTTCATCTTCGTAGTCTTTGTCTGAATCACTCATAGCTCCATGTCACGAACCATTTGTTGCAGTTACCCGTGTAAGTCCGACGCCACCGTTGGGATTTGTCGGGGAGGGTTGTATTACCTCAGACGATAAACCAACCATAGCCGATAAGACCATCCGCTCGGAGTCCGAACGTGCCTACGGTATCCAAACCTTGCAATCAGGTGGTGATATTGGAGGTTGCCTTTCCGACCGTTCCCGAGTAGGGTACCAGTACGGTAATATGGATGTGAATGCATTCGGAAACAACCAACAATGGACCCAATCACGTTGTGCGAACGACGTCGGAGATTTCGTTACGCACAAGATCGCAATGATATGCCTACTGTAATCCGTCCAATGTCCATAATGGCCGTCGTAGATTTGCCTGAATCCAAAATCAGAAGATGGGAAAAGGAATTGCAATTAGGGCGGGACCCGAAGTCGGAATTGTAAACGTGCAATTTGAATTCCATTTGGGGAAAAGTACCGCAATCGGACCTGGAGTGGCCCGGGCTTCCGAGACTAACGCGGGAGTCGGACACGGGAGGGGGGGTCGGAACCGGAATCGGAGTCGGAAGCGCCAGAGTCGGAGCCGGAAACGTAGGATAGAGTTGGAGCCGCAATCGGACCAAGAGCCGGAGTTGGAAAATGGAGCCGGAATCGGACCGGGAGCGGGAGTCGGAACAATAAGAATTGATGGGGGATCGAAAGGACTGTCGGGCCCGGGGTTCGATGCTTCCCGATCCGTCCAAGATGGCGCAAGACGGCTCCAAGAGCGAAAAAGCGAAAAAGCACAAACACTGATGTTCTTCAAGTTTTGGGGCGCTCTTGGGAGCCTTCGGGGCGCTCTTCGGGCCATCTTGAAGGAGGTCTACCAAAGAGGGGGGTTCGTATATTAGCGCTGCCTCTCTAGAGTATTTTTCCCCCCAGCTTCTTTCCAGACAGCAAAGGCCCGTTTCTTTTCATGTTTGGGGCATGACGGGCGTCGTGGACCCCACCCCCACCGCCCCCCCTATGACGTAACGCTCCCCCCTCCAGTGCGCTCCGGGCACTGCCCCCCAGTGCGTTCCGAACATTGCCGCTGTGCGCATTGGGATCCGCGTAGGTGTTCGCGTAGGAATCCGCATAGGAGTCTGGTCCGCAGTCGTCGTCGTCGTCGTCGTCGTCGCTCGTGGCTTGTCGCTCGTCGCTCATAGTCGTCGTGCGCGCGGACGCGGCTGAAGCCTGCTTTTGATTCCGGGCCGATGACGGTAATCATCTAGGAGGGGGACGGAGGGGGTCGATGACGTCACGTTTCGCGCCGGCGGCGATTGGGAATGCCTGGGAATGACGGAGGACGGGTAGCGCCAGCATGTAGGTGGCGATTTTCACCACATTTCCTGAGGAGGAGGAGGAGGAGGAGGAGGGAGGAGGAGGGAAGAACGTCGCATTCGATTATCAGCAATTTCATGGCGTGGCGTCTAGTTGTCCGCAGCAGATCCTCACGTACATGTTCCATC